ATAATAATAATAATAATAATAATAATAATAATAATAATAATAATAATAATAATAATAATAATAATAATAATAATATTGTTTGCCAAGTTTTTTCCATCTTCCCTCTCCCTATTTAATTTTTTTTAAGCTCGTGCTATCAATAAATTTGCATAGAATTCTTTTCGTCCATGAGCGATCAGCTTTCTTTTTACCTTGTGAAAATTTTCACCACACCATTCAGCAGCTTGTTTGCCTGCGTGACCATCAAAAATAGCAAAAAACCCTTGACCCTCAACCCCCGCGAAATCATAAAAGAAAGAATGCGCGTCCTACATTGCAAACTCAAAATAATTAACTCGAAAATTCACGATTTCTCTCCCCTCGAAAAATTCGAAGTCAAAATCATATCTAACAAAAATACCTCCATTGTTCGCCTGCACCTTTTATTTCTATCCTCACTAACACCAATCTGAAAATGTTTATTCTGTTGCGCTATTGTCTTTTCTTGTTGATTACTAGTAGTATTAATGGCAGTAGGTGTGTTTGTAGAAGCTTCGACAGCCGGACTAGAAGGGCTATCATTGCTTGGTTTAAAGTAACCATTATTATTTGCATTCAATCCTGGATCGTTCTCATTCTCTTTGGAAGTTATTTGTTCCGGTGATAAGGTGAGTTCTATTTTTTCGGGCGATTGTGGGGATCCCTCTAACTTTTTATTGCTCGTTGCATTCGGAATCAGTGTAGTGGTATCTTTATTCTCAGCTTTACTATTTGTATCTTGTTTCACGGCTTCGCCGTTTGTTGATTTATTTAAAGACATCTTGGAATAATTTATATGAATTCTTGTTATTTATTAAAGTTCGTCAAGACCGGATATAATTAGAAACTTCTTGGAACTAAAAAAGATTAATAAATAGGTGGAAAGGAAAAAAAATGATCTCGTATTATGCTCTTTTCTTTAACAAGTAGCAATGTCGACGTGGGAATATAGAAAGGGGAGGAATAATGGGTGGTGGTCGGAAAGTTTGAAACAAAAAATTCGAGTACAAGATTTCCTATTTAAGAACTCGCAGGGATTTTTTCGTTACACGTTATGTAATGCAAAATAAATTTTCTGTGAGCATACAAACAACACTGATAATCTTCCCTCTTTGTGGCACAGTTTTCCGCTTCCGAATCTTCATTCAGAAGGAATGTTTTCCCTTTCTTCTCAATAAAAGCATTAACGACAACTCAGTAACGTCATGTCAACAAATTCGAAAGATTCACTTGTAATTCCGCGTTTTTGTGACACCTGGACTCCAGAACAGCGATTTAACCTTGCCGTTATTTGCACGTATGTGGTTAACACCACTAGCTGGTCCCATAATGAAAAAGAACAGATTTTTCGGCGAACCTTTACTGCCGGAGTTTATAAACACTTGGGGATTGAGAATACAAATGGTACCATTTCTTTGCACAATCAAATCGCTTTTCTCTGGATAAATCAATTGAGGATTAATTTTATTGCACTTTAAACAGAAAAGAATGTATTACAAGAAATGCTAAAGGATGAAAATAATTCACCAGATCTCAAATTAATAGCAGACAGCTACATAAATGCTGACGATATGGAAAATAAGGGGACAAGGGATATTCGTTCCGAGGTTATCTCAGATTTATTAGTGATCTGCTTGGGTTTCATGCCCGCACTAGTGACAGATACAGAAAAGCCACAACAACCGTCCTCGGCTATCAAACCTGCCAGGCGCGCGAGTGTAAAAGAGAGACTTGATAAATTATTTAATAAAACAGTTGAGGAAGTTGAACAAATTGAACAAGTTGTGGAAAATAAAGTTGAACAAGCTATAGAGAATGAAGTCTCTAATTTAGAAATCTCGGATCCAGATAAGATTAAGCCCGCAGAATATGATGCGAGAGCAAGAGCGATTCTATTCGAAGTTTCCGACTATCTAAAATATTCGCCCTCGGATGTTTTGAAGCTTGAAGATGCGATGGCGCAACAATTATATTCCATTCAGCAGGAACACGAAGCCAATGCCAAAAACGATGATAACCTTCAAAAATTGCAGTCCAGTGCAAATGAAACTGTAACTAAGCATGATAAACGTAAACAAAAATTGAGGTGGTTGGCGACGGGTGTTGGGGTTATAGTAGGTGCTACCGCCATTGGTATCACCGGTGGAATAGGTATTAGTTAATGCCTTAACTCTATTTTTATCCGTTTACTGCCTTAACTGATAAAATTTTTCAACGCCAAGTGAAGCCGCGCCATTTGTGGCGTTAGGCTTGGGAGCAATCACGGGAGGCCTTTTCATCACATCTTCAACTCTCGTTTTGATCACTGGATTATTTGGGATCGCAGGAGGAGGTCTTGCGGGTATAAAGAATTTCATAAATTCTTTATAATTATCTGAATGAATATAATAGGCACCGACAAATTATTACATTATTATAGGATACAAGATGCGTAAAAGAACCAAAGGTTTACATGAATTTGAATTCAAACAAATTGAGCGAGAGCAGAATGAATTGCCTCAGATTCCATCGCTTTATGTGCGTACTTCTCGAATTAATTTTAATCTATATATATTAATTAATTCGTAATTAAATTAACCTCATATATAGTTAAACGTTGTGATATCAGGCTATTTGCTAGATGATCATAATGAAGTGACCACTCCCTGGCTTCCAACATTTCAAAAGACTACCGAGTATCACGACACGTATGCGCTGACATTTGACACGGAAATTCTTCGAGCATTAGGAAAAGCATTCAGACGGTTCCTCGCAGAACATGCTGTAAAAATGGCAGCTCATGAAGTCATAAAGCATACCGTATTCGGATTGCTGTCAAGTGCTCTTTTCTTGCCAGCCACTGTAATGAAAGCGGGAGACCTCATTGATAATCCCTGGGCTTTGGGAATTGATCGTGCATCCAAGGCAGGATTGATATTGGCGGATGTTTTATCAGAGCGTGTGCAAGGCAAAAGGCCTACAATTTTGGTACGCGAATTTATTCTGGTTTTCTATAAACATACAAGTTATTAAAAGACTTATCACTAGGTTGGTTATTCTTTGGGCGCATTGGTAATTTGGGAATGCTTGCAAGAATTGGCGAGGAGAGAAGAATACGGATTAATTGATAGTGGTAATCATCATATCGAAAATGTCGTTATATCAAATCGCTTGCATATTATTTTTCCTCTGTTCCGCTTGTAATGTCATGATATCAAGTTCACAAACATGACACATATTTTCAATATTCTTATAGTCATTCTTATCGGAGCACCAATCTCGGCTGAGCATGTAGAGAGATGGGAATTAGCATCCACAGTTGTTTCACGTCGAATCGTTAACGCATACGCCACGAATGACTTGGTACTAGCAGTAGTGTACCGAATGCATGCGCTAGATTTGAATGTGGCCGGTCTTAAAGCTGTGAATTCACCAAGAGTTGAAAATTATGATGTGACTTCATATACGAGTGGGCATTTGGGATATAAAGAACCTGAAACTCTAACCAAAATATTAAAAAGAGTTGGGGTTGAATATAAGAGTAGTAATTGATAACGAGCATTATTAGGATTTACAGATAGTGATATTTATTTATTCATTTATTTATTTATTTATTTGTCTTGCATTTGTACTTAAAATCATTAAATTGTAAACGATATTATTGTACCACTGAAAAATTTAAAATGTGATACCAAGAAATTATATCAACAAAAATACGTGGATCTGTGTATGGGTTTGGGAAGAATCATTTATTATTTTTTTGTTTTTGCGATAGCCTAATTATTATTAAAGAGAACGAATTTTAATAAATAATTGAATCCGCAATGGCAACATTAAAATATGTAACTTGCCTTTCTAACGTTTAATATATCGCCATCATTTTTACTGCCTTTTCCAACGACTTTTTTCAATATACTCAGATTTGATTCTTTCTCTTTTTTGAGATCAGCGATTGTTGGTTCAAACTAATTGCCAAAAAAAAGTGTCAATAAACGGAGACATAACGACAATGAATAAGAAGTCAAAAAACATGAAGTGATCATATAACCTTTCTCTTTACGCCCTTCATCTTTGGTTCGCCTTCTAATGGCTTATCAAATTTTCCAATACTTGCTGTTGCAAACTTTGAAATAGCAATCTGCTTATTCAATTCTGCCTTTCTTAATGATTTTTGGTTTGTTGTTGTGACGATTCCAGAATTAGCAATAGTATTGGTGTTTTTATTTTGTTGTGCTGCAGCTTCTTCAAGATTTCGTTGATGACGTGAACTGTTCTTTTCAATACGTTGTTTTTTTGCTTCACGTCTTTTAGCAAATAAATCTTCATATGGGTCTAATTAAAAAAAAATCGAGGAAATTCAATTAACAAACATTCGAATTATAAGAATGAACCACCGATAAGGCACATAAATACCGTCATTATTGGAAACAGGTATCAACCAATCATTCGCGCCATCATCATTGGCACCTTTATATCCCCATCGTGGCACCCATTCGCCTTTCTCTTCATCGTATATCAACTTGTCCTTCTTCCGTTTTTGAATACCTTTAGCTTTCGCGAATTTCTCCCATCTGGTGAGTGGTTTCACTTTTGGGATCTGATTATTTTTGTTGTTGTTGTTGTTGGATTGGTCGTAGGTTGATATTCAAAATGCAACAATCACAAGCATAAAATAAAAACTTTATAATTCAGACTTCTTAATAATCAGAAAATACTATTATTACAATCATAAAAGCAAGAGATTATATCAGGTATGAGTGTTCTTACAGGTTTTTCTCTTGGCAATACAGTCGTCACATCCGGTAATTCAGCAAAAACACCAACATCTTCCACCGATAACGGTAACTTGAAAATTTCATTTATCAATAATTGTGTGCCATCACGCGTATATTCTTTTAAATATTCATCTATATTATTTGACCTTGATTATTTTTACAACAGCTTGAGTTTATGAATATAGATAAATAACAATGTTACGAATCTTTTAATCATAAATACGAAATAAGGCTCTATTTACTTTAATTTTTGATCGTCCAAGGTATTTGTATCATAGGCAGCAAGTAAGCCAAGATCGAATTCTAACGGTATTGGTTTTTCAACCGTTATAAGTTTACTAGAATAAGGGAAAAAAAATTTAGTTTTATAAATTAAACAACAAGTATGTTTGGCCGCAGACAATACAAAAACGAGAAAGGTAAATAGTTCGCTAGACTTACTATTTCGAAGACTGCGTTTCAAGTTGTGTAGAGACGTCCATAATTTGCGAATGGAAAAAAGATGCTTGAATTTTCCACCCGAAGAAATTTGATTTTGATTGGTTGTACCACATCATCAACGTATAATTTTCGATAAGAAAATTTTATCCTAAAATGGGCAAAATGGCCACGGTATTTAAACTTGCAAAAGCACAAAAAGAAGGTAATGGCCCGTCGTCTCGAGAGGCACATAAAGAAAAAAATTCCGAGGAACAGAAAGCAAAAAAAAATAAACAGCGCGTACTGGTATTATCTTCCCGTGGAATAAATTTTCGGTAATTTTTTCATTTTACGAAGAAGATACAGAAAATTATCATGTTTGATATGTAGATAATTAATTATAGACAACGACATTTACTCAATGACTTGGCTGCTCTATCACCACACTTTAAAAAGGGTATGGGTAATAAATTCTGTTCGATGAACCTTGATTTGATTCGATCTGATCTTACAATTCTATTATTATAAGATGCAAAACTCGATCAAAAATCCCAATTCAGCATTCTCAATGAACTCGCCGAACTGAATAATTGCAATAATTGTCTTTTCTTTGAAGTGCGACGGAAAGAGGATTTATATCTTTGGGCTAGCAAAACACCAAATGGTCCAAGCATCAAATTCCATGTGCAAAACAGTAGGTCTACATAAAGATCATGCTTGATCGAGACAATCTATAGTTATTCACTATAATTAATTTTTTTATAGTACACACGATGGATGAATTGAAAATGACCGGTAATTGCTTGAAAGGGTCAAGACCGATCGTCTCTTTTGACAAGACATTTGACACGCAACCACATTTTTCTCTTATAAAACAAGTATTCACACATGTAAATAATTTTAGATTTGTATGTTGTGAATTTATCTGATTCGTGAATGTTATTACTAAACATCCACTTGGATTTTTTTCAGATATTTAGTGTGCCAAGAGGCGCACGTCGATCAAAGCCTTTTATCGATCACTTAATTTCATTCACGATAGCAGACAATCGGATCTGGTTTCGAAATTATCAGGTTTTTTATCACATTCTTGCAGCTTAAATTGCTCACTTTTATTCATGATCCAATTAAATCTATTAGATTGTTGAAAAAGATCCTACAGAAGTTGAGAAAAATCAAAAGGACATTACGCTTGTTGAGATTGGTCCACGCTTCGTGCTGAATGTGATTCGAATATTCGAAGGAAGTTTCAATGGCGCGACTATTTTTGCTAATCCGGAATTTATAACACCCACTCAGGTTTTTGCAATTCTTTTTACTTCCTTTTTAGCAATTATTATCAGTGAATGATTTGTTCGAACTTTTGTCCTCAAAGATTCGACGTAATATAAAAGCCGAGAAAGCTGCGCGTTATCAATCGCGTGTGCAATCCAAAGAAGTACTAAGGCATAAACTATCCGCTAGTGTTTTACCTTTCGACCCCATGGAAAGATCGTGAATTGGTTTAATATAATTACACGTAATAATGGGTTTTTCGCGCCAACTAAATTGAACGAAACAAATAATACATATTTACAATAGCATATCTAAAATAAAAAGTAAGACTCTAGAACGCGCCCAATAAAAATACATATAAATAAATCGAAATATTTATTATGATTAGTTTACTTTTTTTTTTTTTTGCTAAATGACCCTAATTTGCGTCGTTGTCAGTCCCAAATCCGCCCATTTCCAACAAACACAAGCAGCCACATCCAGTGGGACAGTCTTTATTCCCTGCCGAAAACCATTCAAGAAGGTGGTTGGTATGACCACCGTGAGAACATAATGCACAAAAATTTGTTAAACCTAAACAAAAAAGAAATTACATCATTGAAATTACAGCGAGATAAAGAGAAAATTTTATTTGAATTTTTCAGACCTTTAACAATCCGGTGACAAACCGAACATATAATCCCTGATCGTTTCCGTTGGCAATTAGCGCACACAGCGTTCGGTTTAAGTTCAGAACCGCAGTGATGACAATGTATAAAAACTTCTACGTTTATTATTGCATTGTTGTTACAGGTATATTGTTAGTATAGTATAAGCAATGGGACGTATGATTGCAAAGTGCGCAAAGATTGGAAATTTATTAAGTTACCCAATGCTTTCCTCTGTTCTTCAATTTTCACAAAATTCATAAATTTGAGAAGTTCAGCACGAGCTTCCATTAAACCCCAGTGATATAGTAACTCTGCATAAGCGAGTCTATATTGATCGTATGTTGCCATAGATTTTCGATCGGAATCTAGTAAAGGTACATGCAACGGCCTATTATCAAGAAAATAAACAATTAAATTCGATTAAGGTTTAAAAACAAAATTCAAAAAAAATTATTTCGACCTTCTTTCATCGTCAAAATCGTTAACATTCATCATTGTTATGCCAAGTTCGCTAGACTTCTTTTGTTCCAAATCAACCCATCCGACATGATCCAATTTATTGGAAAACATTCCACTACTGACAAGATTAGATCTTTGTGGTGTGCGCGGGGGTGAGGCGTTTGTACTTCCACTTGACGGAAGGAAACTCACATCACGATAAGATACGCCAAAAGTCGATTTCCGATGAAACTGTTGCTGCTGATGATGATAATTGAATTGATGAAAAGAATTAAATGGAACTGGCATCGCAATTGATCCAGGTATAGGTAACGAATCTTCACGCCACATATTGGGGGTAGGCGGCGTAGGTGAATTTACGGAAAGACCACAATTGTCCGGCGATTGATATTGGTGATAATTAAGCGAAAATGGTAACGGTTCTTTGTAGACATCAAAATATGATGTAGAAAGCAAGAATTGATTTTGAACATGTTTTTCCGGATGTCGAATATAATAATTAAAGTAATCTGTGCCAACTGAAGTCGCACCACTCAATGAATCGGGTGTCGTCTAACAATTTATTCGAAAATTTGTGTCAATTATTCCTTTACAAGGGAACGAAAATCATTTGAAAGAGAGATTTACCATAGGTTTAGTGTAATCAGTAATCCATTTAAATTTACGATCATAAGGGAAAGGTTCTTGTAAGACACAAGATAGTAATGCCAATGTTTGAACATCACCTATTGATGAAAAATGCCGAAACCTATACAAAAAGTAGTCTAAAATAAACACAAACTGTTTGAAAAAAATAATGTAACTTAAAAAAATAAACCATACAATTCCCGAACAAGACTTGCGCCCCATGGATGCATTCCCCATTTCACTCTGCCAACTAAAGTCGGTAGTCCATCGTCCACAAATAGATCTAAACCAGATCCACTATTTTTTCTTTTACGATAATTTTTGTTTTGTATTAATGTTGCCAGCGATAAATTTTCATGGTAATGATGATGAGACTGACGACCATGATCATGATCATTATATATTTCTGGTCGGATTTCTATGGGAACATTTTCTGCGAGAATATAAGATGCCAGCAGCCATACTTCCTCCAAGTCAGGACGTTTATTCTTTGCGGCAACTTTAGCATTATGCTTACATATATCTACTGGATCATCCCCATACAAGCTATAAACAAGAATTTCTATGAACAAATTGTTTCTTTGACTAATCAATTATACTCGAAAAATAATAAATACTAGTACTCACGTATATTCCATTGCCAATTTTTGGCTAATTGGCATCCATTCAGATAAATCGTGAACATAGATTATGAATCCAGTTCGATCTAGTTTGGTCGGTTGAAAAAGATTTGACGGGTCTGTTACACTCTCACGTAGGCCTCTCTAAAAATTTGAATTCATTATGATTATAAAAATGCAATAATGGACTACCACATATGGTATGCAAGTGAGAGAAAGTTATCGTACTTTTGGCCTAAAATATAACAAAGGTGTTATCATATCAATATCGTCATCTTGATTGTCAAATGAAGAGTCAATCTGTCGTGGCAGTCTCGAGATTGCACGGTACTGTTCAAATGATTCATAGGAACGCGGATGGGTGTAAGTATATGCTGGCAACACACGGATGGGAGTGGTGGGAGTTGATTTAACTGGTGTAGTTGGTGTTGTCGCAGTATTGACATCAGGTGCACGTAAGCAAGAGAAAAAACATACAAGTTGACCTAAATTGAAATGAAGTAAGTTTATCTTTTATCAATGTCTAATAAAATTTTATTACTAACTATATAACAAAAAAGTACCGTTTCCTGAAAATTTTGCCCCACACAAAATAGGGAATGGCACATTATGATCATCTTTATCACCAAGAAATATATAGTTTTTATCGTATGATGCTCTTCTCGAAGAGTTCATCAAACTCTCTTCGTCTGAGTCATCTCTTCCGTATCGATCTAATCCATCTTCATGTGAATTCTTGCCGAGAAGATAACGAATACAGGCTTCGATACATGGACGTTTCTCTGATACGTGTTGCAAAGCTATCCCATCCAAAATCTGCGAAATACGAGTTCTATTCATTATAGAAATCATTCCAGTTTTTTGAATATCGAATTTCGGTGGAATTTTATCAGGATATTGTAAAGGGAAGGTTATGATTATGCGCAGAAAAGAAACACCGCTAACAGACCAAGGTCCATGTGTATGAAGGCTGATTGTACATGTTCGATTTGTAGTTGCTATCTAATTACAATAATCGAATATATTTATCTATCAAATCGCATTTTTAATTGGTTAATAACTAATTGATAAGTTACCTTTTCAAGTTTCACATCTTTGTATTTACTCACAACCGACTTAATTTCTTGCACAAACTCCTTTGGAGTATCATCATCAATTTTACCACTAGGTTTTGCCATTTTCATTCCCTGCATCCATAAAACGGGTGATAGTGAACGACGCCCAGGATAAACGCCAGCCGGAGAATTCATGTAATTTGTAATGCCTGTTGCGCCTCCAACGGAAGCCCCTGATGGACGCATCGGCGCCGTTGTAGTAATTCGATTGCCAGCAATGGCACGTAATGTGGAAACGGCGGCTGACGGAGTTAAAGTTGGGGAAGTGGAATGTGAATCTGCTCGTGGAGGATCACGGAAGGTGAAGTTGGAATGGTCGATGCTTGATTGATGTTTTGAGGGTAATCTCGCTTTGCCTCTTACATATCCTATTGACTTTATTGTTGTTTGATCGTAAAAAATCATGTTTCAAGAAATGCGCAAGAATTTTATTTATTGGCCATGCCATGCATTCACTTATTACCTTCAATTGAGCATCATTTATTGGCCATAATCGCAATGTTTGATCTTTTGACCATGTGATTAACTGGACTTCGCGATTATCTGTCATGATGAATATATTTTTCAAATAAGCTACGGGAATTTTACAACACTCAAATGCGAATCTACTTTGAAGAAGACGATAATCACCAACTTCGGGATCACCTCCACCTTTGATTCTCCATACAAATTCTTTAACTACATCAGTATGACCTTTGAATTCATATACCGGTGTCTTTGGTTTCTCTCGATTCCAAAGATAGAGCGTGTTTTCTGATCTCTGTGGCATTGTCAATATACCATGACCAACCGGCTATAATAAAAATAGTTTGTAATTATAAAATTAACAATAAACTAAATTTAAGTGGAAATGAGCAAACTATGACACATAATAATAATTACTGTGTGCCTTGCACGCCAAACAGGTGAATTTGTTTTAATAACTAGTTGACATTCTTCGGGTTCGTTAATATTCCAAACCTTTAATAAATTAAAAATAATTCAAATTATGGTCTTTACTCGAAAGTTAAAATTATCACCAATTTATAATTATATTCGAACCTTAACTAGCTTATCTAAGCTACACGTTATTATATCGGTATCATTCTTTCTGCTCCAATCGATACCATAAATTTTAGTTGTATGTGCTTTGATATTTTTTATAGCAAGAGATCCGCACTGTTTTAATAAATAATGGATGTTTTTAAAGAGACTTTATTTAAGATGGAGATAGATATCTAAATATACCCGAATATCCCATATTTTCAGATCTGTATCATGCGAAGAAGCCAGCAAATACTCATTTTGCTTATTGAATTTTACTTGAGTTGCACCAGCTTAAAATATAAATGAAGAATAAATTATCAAAAGACCGATAAATAGATTTTTTTTGTGATTAAATTTTTAAGATAAAAATTCAAATAACAAAATAACCATACCAGTCCAAGCGCAAAAAGAAATTATAGGTTTCTTTGGTTCACGTAAATCCCACAAATGAATAAAAGTGTCCACGGAACAGGTGGCTAATTGATCAGGATTAAATGGGTGCCAATTTATATCACTGATCGCGCGTGTATGGCTATGCAGTATATGTTTGACAACGCGATTTGTTGAGTATTCCAAGTCCCATATAAGGGCTTTTTGATTCGACTATTTGGAGGAGTCGTCGATAAATGATTAAGAACGTGTGTGCAATGTGTGTCGTGTGCGTGTATGTGTATTTACGAATCAAAAATATCATATTTGCAAAGAAAACGCTTGGAAATCGATTAACCTATCAAAGATCAACAGAAAAATAACTGTGCGTACAGTGGATGCAACCCACGTGTCTCGAGCCTGATGCGGATTCCATTGTACATCAGCCACCTCCCATTTTGTTAAGTGATTGAGAACGCGTGGAGGATCAAAGGGATTCTCAAGGTCGATTATGAATAGACCTTTCCTCCTAAGAAATGTCGAAACGACATTATCAAGTGCATCAAAATCCCATTGTTTGATAAAATTGGAGAAAGAGAATAGTAAATAAACTAGATTTGCTGAAAATGATTGTTATGCAAATAATTTTAATGGCAGCATACGCGGCAAGAACTACATCTCGACAAGAGGGCGAGATAGACATGCTTCCCACAGGCTTGTCCACATTAATAGCTAATTGCTGGTAGAACGTCGAGTCTCCGTTTTCGGAGCCCATTAGCGTGAATTCGCGATCCGGATATATTATCTCTGGTGAGGAACGTGAAGAGGAGCTATTATTAGTACTTGGTAAAAGTGGTGGGGATAGGTTCGTCGCGTGAGTCTGTTGCTGGGTATTGGTGAGTTCATGTGAAGAGGAGAACTTGTGCTGGTTTATCCGTGTTTTGGGTATTCCGATAGGTGTTGTAACAGTGGTTTGTTGTGATTCTGATTTTTCCGAATGATCTTCCATGATAGAACAACAATGAGATTCTAGACGAACTAGGAAATTTATGATCACGAACTGATCATCTGACATTAATAAATTTGCCAGGACAAAATTAACTTTTATTATATTTACATGGTGAAATTGAAATATTAATATATTAAAGAGACTTTGCTAAAGAACTCTACGAATTTAATGATATTTAATCTAATAATAATCCAATGATATCTGATACGATAATGTTTTCTTTCATATACTTGCGCCCATAACCTGTTTTACATATTTCGAGCCACGACTATCACACGCGTTACATTTACAATGTCATTTGCATTTTTGCGCCCGATCCATCGCAATGTTCACAAATAACTTGTTTCGTCAGCTTAAGCATGAAATTAATAACTCAAACGAATAATCACTTCAATTACCACCAGGATTATTGACGGATGCACCTCTTCCTAATAATTCGTGCATCTTGCGCTGAGTCTATAAATATAAATTATATATAAGTTACGTATAATGAAATCGTTTTGTATGTATTATATATACCATTGAAGCCATATAATGAAAGGCAGCATCATGTGTCCAAGGTTGTTTAAAGAAGTCAGCCTGACGTTGTTCTTCAAGATTTGCTCGAGTCTCACCTAATATAATCTAAATAAATCATGAAATTTAGAATAATTAAACTCGAAAAGACATTAACTTTGAAAATATGGCCCAAAACAATACCTCCAAGTCCCGACTTTGACTAGCAATCCATTTCTGAATAAATTCAGCCGGCGATCGAGCAAATTGCATCATGAAATCACGCTTTGTCTTGGAGTTATTTATACTCTGCACACATTGCATGATCTAAATATATTGGAATCAAAAAATATATTTATTAATTAATGAAATAAGTGAGTAAAATTAAGAAAGATGTCGATTAATTATGATATACCTTTTCATCCAATTCTTGTATTTCTCTATGATGATTAGTATTCTCAATCGCGTTAATCATTCTTTGTCTCAAAATATCATCCACTTCTACCTCAATATCATATGCAAATCTTGAAGTGTGGAAACTTTTGTCGACTCTTTATTCGTGCAAAAAGTATTAGCAAAAACTAATATATAAATATCGGAATTCTTCTTAATTTAATGGGAAAAATAAAGTATGATTTCAATTACCTGATTGTGTATTCAATTTCAATAGCATCAACAGGATCCAAATGTTGATTTAATAATTCGGGGAGCTCTGGAAAAGCTATTTTATCTTTCTTAAAGATCTTTATTTTAAATGATATATATAATTAATTCAAAATCAATCAAAGGTAAATAAATAACAAATATACTTCTTACCGCTTCAAGATGTTTATCACAATTAATGATTCTCTGATTATCCGGATCTTGTAATTTGTTAATCTGAAAAAAGAAGCAAGCTAATAATTAAATAATTATACCGAAATAACCCGAATATTTATTTATAGATTAAGATCAATTAATAATACCTTAACATACTGCCACATGGCTTTGATTATCCCTGACTTTGTTTCTTCTTTTATGTCCAATAAATCCGCAAACGCTGACGTTAATTTATATCTTTCAGGTCGATTTTCCAAAGTTAAAAGTATTTTAGCCTTGACGTTTTGATCTCCTTTACGTTTTATTTCAAAACCATCACATTCTTGGGTTGATGTATTTCGTGTCCACTATTTCCCATAAAGTATCAATGATTTGTCTTTTATTGATGAATTCGAGTCATTATAACTCACCTCCATTGTATTTCCTTCAGGGTATAGATCGGGGTTTCGTTCCAGTTCAACAATAATTGATTTAAAGAACGAAGAGAACTTTTTTGTTGTTCGACTTCTTGCTGCCGAATATGGAAGCTGAATAACAAATTATAACTGAGAGTAATTATTAAGCAAATTATGTAGATTAAAAAGAAATCATACTTACGTCCAACAATCTTCCTTCGATTCTTAGAGTCCAAGATGGAATGCTTCCAGCCTGGAAATCAAGCTCTGATTCTTCTTCATCTTGAATATTCTGATTCGTTGCGGTGTTTGACACGAATACTCGGAGAATTCGCTTAGACTAGACAATAAACACCAAGACTTAATACTATAAACTTCGATATAATTAAAGTGAAATATATTGTACCTTCATGGGCCTTGTAGCAATTGCTTCTTGGTTTTCTAGTCGTTTTCTCATGATAGTTGCATCTAATCTTTTTTCAAAGTTTTGCAGTTCTGTGTATAGTCTAGATTCTGGCACAAGTCCTTCTATCTTTTGTTACATAAAAGGTTAATATAATCATTTGCTTTGCGAGCAAACCATAATTTGTTTATTTTACCTGTGCTGGAAGATTTCGATCATTAATGGCAGGTCGTCTCTTCCTACATATTTTTTAAAATATATTTATTTCAGCTAAAATAACTGAGTCTTAAAATCTCTTTAACCAACCTAATTTGCTGAATTATGGGGGGTGATTCCGGCACGTTCCTTCTTTTGGCACCACTTGAAGAACCAGCAGCTGCACTGACATGCGAAATGGGATGTGAAGTAGGGTTACGTGGTGGATAAGACATTTGTTCAATGGTAATTTAGTTCTTTGTTAAAGTTAAGGATTGTCAAAGAACGCGAACACTTCAATTCAATTTTATGGGATTTAACATGAAACTCGGCGATCATATTTGAGAAATATTGGATGCTTACATAAATGTTAAATGAACATCCTACAAATCTAGAATCACGCGTCAATGTAGCAAACATGAAATTTTTAAACACCTTCCACGGCTGTTTCTTGAGATCAAGACAATTTCTTTCGTGCGTAGGATCACAAATTTTTATCCATTGACTAAGCAACTCGCAATACAATAGTTAAATGAATAGAACATTCAAATATGTACATTAAAGGAAATTCTCAAGTATAGACATAGGATAATCTTCTTCTCACTCCACATTAGTATACTAATATAATAAACATATAAATAGAAATAAGTTGATTAATGAAATGGTTTATGACGTGAGAATATTCAAAACTATCATATACCTCATCATCATCTTCATCACTTTCATTTCGAGACATGTGTATTGTAACTCTTCGTGCTAATGATTTATCCAATTTTATATCGTTTTCCGTGAGAATTTTATCACAGCCTGTATATTTAAATTATTAATTAAATTTCAATCAAAATGGACGCTCTTATAATAAACTTGTATTTACCTGGAGTTGGACATTTCGCTTGGCTGTTAGCCCTTATATAAGCCAGAATAGCATTTTTTGAGAAGCTATGTCTACACTTTGTGCTAAATAATATGACTAGGAATTAATCATAGGTAAAAAGAAATAAACACAGAATTTTTGATAATAAATACTAATGAACCTCGTCATAGGCTCTTCAAATATCTTGGTGGTAAGGGGGCAGATTAGAGATTGCCTTTCAGTGGATATTATTACATCGTCGTCACCATTTTCTTCTTCCCTTCCAATTGGTGGCATAGGCGCATCGGGATGTTTGACTTCCTATTTATTTAAAAGTAAGATGGTAACAAGGGAACAAAACTTTAATCAAGCAGAATCACTGATGCTACTACGAAAACTAACCCATATTTTTTGTCTGAATTCTAGGTAATTAGGATTCTGATGATATTTGGTCTCATCAGGTGTATCTTCATATTCTCGCATTTTTTTATTTACTTCGCTCTCATAATGCTCCAAAAGATTGGGCTATTATTATTTAGGAATAATAGATCGTGCGTGATTAAATGATGAAATCCCAGAAATTATCTAATGAAATGCGAGCATGATGATAACAATAATAAGACATGCAATCTGTTCTCTCTTGAACAGCCTAGTGCGCATATTCTCCATTATACGTTTCTGATTTTGTAGCTCGTATTCATAGTCAAGAAGTTGCTTCATTGCTTCATCGAATGGTTCGACCTTTTTTTGGAAATGAACATGTTTTTAACCAACGCTTGCTTATCGTCACGAAACCCATCAGAATGTCTGAGAAATATGATAAGAAAAACCTCCTCTTCAACTTCTTCAATGTCAATGGCCGCATCTGCAGCAAACGAGAATCCTCTCTGAATAAAGCTCAGTGCAACAGTGTAGTCGGAAATTAAAGTGTTTAGTTTGTTGGGGTCATGCACTATCGGTGTTTTGGCTGACGTCGCCGCACTCCTTTCTAGAGTCGAAGTGGAAGAGGAAGCTTCTAACTCCATGTCTTATATAGCCTATTTGAAAAAATTAGTTTCGCGTGTGGTGGAGATTGGAACCGGATTTATTTTAATATCAAAAATTGGTTTAAATCCGGATTTACAATAAATCGAATAAATCGACATAGTAAGTCATTGGCCAATGAGATGGCGCAAAATTTTAACCAATTGATATATAATCAAAAAAGCAAATTATAATTGAACTGAAATAATAATTATTAACAAGTGTTGGAGTATAATTAGAAAAGATAAAAAGAAAAATATGCCAAATAGTAACTGAATTAATTAAGAAAAAAAAAGAGTAATATAATTAGTAAATAAAAAAAAGATAATTAAGTATGTTAAAGTATGATAAAAAAAATATTTAAAAGTATATAATATAAATGAAAAAATTATAAAAAATACTTATATTAATAATTACTTAATCAAATAATAATTTTATAATAAATTTTGAATGATTTATATTATTTAATTATATTTAAAAATATAAAATTATTATAATATCTTTATAAAATTAATTATTTATTTTATATAATTTTTATTTTTCTTTAATTTAAAAGATTACTTAACTTAATTATTTAATAATAAGATATGAACCAGTGTAAAAAGATTGATATATCAATATAAAAATTAATAATTACTTCTAATAAAAATCATTC